TTTTTTTTTTTTTTTCCTGTTTTCAAAAGGGTTAAAAAAAGTAGGAAACTTCTTTTCTCAAATTCTGGCTAAGTTACACTCATCACTTCAACTAACACAACAGTTACGTGACCAAGTACCGCGAGTTATCAAAACGTAATGTACAGAAAATTACAAATTCATTGCAAAATACATTGCGCTGCTATGACCGAGCTAAAAAGTGCTTCTGTTTGTCAGAAAAGTGTTCTTCTCCAATCGAAGTGCCGTAGCCCGCAATAAAATTCTGGTGTTTCGCTCGGGTTGTGCTATCCTCTGGCAATTAACTTTCCAACCTGGTTGGCGTTTGGCGCCTTCTGCCTGGGTGGCCGAGACAACAACGGGGCGGGGGAGCGATGGTCCGTGGCGGAGCGCGGCCACCCAGCGCAGCCAGGATCGCGCCCCGCTCCCTCGCAGTCCCAGGGAACACCTCCTTGGGATTTTATACACCGTGTTATTCCCATGGGGCTGGTTTTCTTCCACAAGGTTTTGCTCTTCCCTGCCCGTGGTTCCCGTGCAACCGCCAGGATTCCTGCACGGCCGTTATCTGGACTCTGCACCAACCTCCTCCCAAAAAGGTGCCAGCTTCAGCGGTGCCTGTGCTGCCTCATGAGGGGCACGATGCAGGAAGGGGGCCCGGCCAGTTTGAGAAATGGGTGTCTCAACAGTTCCTGTGCCGTGGCTCTCTGCGAGGGCTCCCGCACCAGCATCGAGTCCAAGAAGCCACGGAGGACCGAGGAGACCTGCAACACGGCACTGATGTTAGGGGGGACAAAGACACCTGCTTCCAGCCTACGCTGGCTCCGTGCACACCGCTTTGCTTGGCAAGACAAGGGACACGCTGGGCCTTCCCATGGCAACAGACGTACTGACCTGAAGGGCCCTGTGCCGTCTGCGGGCGGCTAATGTGGGAAGCACTGGGGTATCCGTGGGGAGAAAAGCACACAGTGCACAGCTCTGAACACGGTGGGTGAGAAAAGCCTGGACACACTGGGGGCTCAAGTCTAATGACTTCTAGAACACACCCAAAATGGCAGGTACCCAAAGGTAGCCTAAAGCTTGGGCACTGGGCGTGGATGTACCAACCCATCTGCGGCCGGGCTCATGCCAAATAGCTCTGGTCCTCGGGCAGGGTGGGAAATGAAGGGAGCACAAGGCTCCGCCCAGCTCCCTTCTCCGTCAAGCGCTGCCGAAGCAAAGCCAGGGCTGGGCACAAAAAGGCTCCGGCTTGCCGAGGGCTCCGGCCTCCCGTCCTCCCCGCACGAGGCCGGCGTAGGGCCTGCTCTCAAGGTGGTACCTAAGGATGCAATTTATCCTTTGGGCATGTGAGTGTGCGGCTCTGATTTTATTAACGGTCTGTGTGTGCACGGCCCTCGTCACCCACGGGGAGTCTGACCTTGTGCAAGTCCTTCACCCGCGGCGGTAAGTTATCCCGGATGCGGCGCATGGCCTGCAGCGGCGGCTCGTTGAAGTAGGGCGGTTCGCCGTCGATCATCTCTATCACCATGATGCCCAGGGACCAGATATCCACCTGCAACACACGGTCCCCTCATAAACACCGCTGGCAGTGCTGAGAGGGGTAACGGGCTCAACGCGTGGGGTCGTGCGACCCTCCCAGCTGGCTCACGCTGTCTGCGCCAACCGCCTGGTGAGCCGTCACCATAGATCCTTCTCTTTTAACCGGCTGACAGCATTTTTTGTCTTCTGAGCAGTTAAGTGCATTGAAGAAATAAGTTAGCGGTGACTTACACACCCGTGTCTGTAGCCCGTTTGGGCAACGTCCACGCTGGTTGGAGAGGCTGGCTGCACCCTCCGGCGCCGCATCTCTCTAGGGTTGGAACTAGATGATCTTTAAGGTCCCTTCCAACCCTAACCATTCTGTGATTCTATCTCACACGCACCCCGTGAATACACAGCGCTGCAGAAAGGCGCAGCGAGCGGGAGAGCAGGGGAACGTTCAGCTGCTGTGACCTCGGTTCCTCTGTTTCCCCTGAGTGTTAGTGGCTACAGGAACTCCATCCAAAACCCCGAGGCAAACGCACGCGCTACACCCGGGCCCGTTTCCAGCAAGCACAGGTAACACATCATATAATCCCTTAGGAAAACAATGCAGCTCCAGCTTAATAAAAAACTCAAACCTTTTCTTTCAGCCCCGGCCTGCTGCAGAGCTGCTCCAGAGCTGCTCCAGAATCCCAATCCTCTGATGACTGTAATTCCTGTCATTTGCCAGCCCAAATACAGCCAAGGCTAGTTCATGCTGCTTTTGCCAACGCTATCCTTCAACTCAAATCCTCTTATTTGTTTTCCTTTCCCTTCTGGTGGTGAAACCTAATGTAGCCGTAAGTTCAGCCACTCTATAATCCCTTCAGTGCCAGTAATGGGCTAATAATAGCTGATGTCATTATCCCTGAAATGTCTCCTACGGTGCCGCGTGTCCCGGGTGCCCGCGGGGTGCTCTCTCTCCCCCTGCCCGCCCCAGACCCCTCCCGGCTGCGTGATGTGAAGTCGCAGCGTCTTCTGCCTCCGGCCTGGGCTCATCTCCCCTCCTCTGTGCACGTACGTGTGTATCGATGTAGGTGTAGGTATGCGGGTGTGTAAACGTCTACCCAACTCTGGCTTGCAGGTTCGCTCTCCGCAGCGGC